GTTATGCTTAGTTAGCAATACTCTGAATTTTTCAAAACACTCCCTCTTGTATAGGGATTGCTTCTAATGTGACTGCCATCTTTTAAAGTAAATGGATATTTAGGGAACACTTACTTGAGGCTGGTGTGATTTATATGTGCTGCTTTAAACAGTATTTATGAAAATAAGAAATACAAGTACCCATATGTGAACTGAACATATCTGAGTCACACTAGTGGCAGTAATGTGCATATAACATGTCACATCCAGCCTTCCTGTCCCCCTGGACACCTGGCAGGTGGGTACCACACAAAATGAACTCCTCACTCACTCACTCATCTGTCAGACACCTGTTCTGGGCAAGATACTTTGCTACAAAAATGTACAAAGATGTAAAGATATTTTATTCCCTACTCTTAAACACCTATGCTGTTCTACAGAATATTCCCATGACCCAGAGTAAGAAATACACTTCATACTGACCATGACCCGAGCGTGTGCACATACCCACCCACTTCTAATACAGGTTTCACAAGGCAATAACCCTTCCTACAATTATGCACTTTCATGTGGGCCTGTCTTTCATTTTAGAACCGCCAAATCGACTTTAACATCCACCTGTGCTTTGACAAACACGGCTCCAGTAGAAACAGCCACACTGACAGAGGAGTTAAAAGCCAGCTCCGGTGTTCTGGAAAATGTCAGCAGACCCTGCCTGGGCTGGCTTCCCTTCACAGGTAACACACAGCAGAGCAGAGGTCCTCCTCCCGGGCCGGGTGGGAGACAAAGGGAGAGTCCTCGCGCTGCTCCGTCTTCTGTCACAGCCGGCCACCCACCTTAAGTCCCACTGACTGGACCTTAACACAAAGACACACAAGTCCATTTACAACAGGCCTTGTGCCAGTCTGCTGTGGTCCCTCTCCTCTAGGAACAAAGCACAAAAAAATATCCTCAAAATGTGCCCATGGACCACTGACCGCCTCTGCAGACCCTCACTACCCACATGCCATTTTTAACGTGGTACACGGAGCAGTCATAAACGAGTTGCTGGGACTCTCTGCAGTGTCCCCTAAGTGAACTCCCTTTGAAGGCTGCTTTGTTTTCAAAGATACTCATGGGACCATGACAAAGCCCACACTATCAAACCACCAAAGGTTCTTCTGGAGAACCTAGTTGGTTGCCAGGAAATGTGCTGTAGAGGGTGAGGATAGTGAAAGAAATTTAGGATGTGGTCCATGCCCTCAAGAGCCTCTCATTAGGTAGATACTGAGATTAAGATACATAAGCTAGAAAACTGCCCAAACGGTTTTCTCTGAACGCATCCCTGAGGCAGCCATGGTGAAGGAAGCACCAGGAGCAGGGGAGCTTTATGAAGACAGCCTCTCCAATGGCTGCTTTATTTTTAATCTAGAAAATCTCTAAGGGCTCTCCCAGAGATACGGGCCAGGATCCCACGTGCCCCGCTATGAGAGTGCAGGAACGGCAATCTCAGTGCCCTCATAATCCCTGATGGCATCTCCAGCCTCCCCTGTGGTGAGTCTCTTCCTTTTGAGACCTTTTCTGACCTAATGAGACTTGCCCTTGGACCACCTACTTCCCTTTAATGGGCCTCTAACCTCTCCCTCTCCTTCAGTGCTGGACCTGCAACTTGTCAGATGAGAGGCCCCCTGCGAATTTCCTACTCACTGCTTCATGTTCCCGAAACAGCTGTTTCTGTTCTTTTTGGATGATGCCCCCCTGCAACTTCGAAAAGTTAATAAAACTTTTATTATTTTTGGCCCTCTTCTTAAGGAGAAAATCCACGTGTTGTACACAATGTTTCCAATTCCACAGCCCCAGCCCAGAGCCCCGACCTCAGCCCGGTGTCCAGCCTGTCACACTGAGCACTCACAGCCGCCTCCTCACAACACTGGTCTTTCATGACCCACCCCCACTTCTCCTCAGAGTGCCCCTTTCCAGACACTTCCCCTGTGCATCCTGACGTGGTCCCGCTGACCTTCGTCCTTGCTGCCCTCTCTGGACAATTACCTCTTGGGTGAGCACTGCTGAGGCCCCATATCTCTGCCCCTGGGAGAGAGGTTCCCTGCCCACTGGTGTAATCCGCAGGGGCCTCCAACTCACACCATCCCACGTCAAATTCATCACCTTATCCTCCTGCTCCAAACTGGTCTTTCCCCAAAGTTTCATTTCTTTCAATGGTACCACTGTTCCCAGTCATTCAGGTGAACTCAAGAGCCCTGTGCTCTCACACACGATTATTCTCATTAGGTTCTAATGGGGTAGTACTGAGACTCTGCATGGAATCACATTTGGCTCATCTCATTTCTTCGTCTTAGTCTCTGACCTATTTCCCTGTGGTGGGGTGACTTGGACTTTACAACATCTGCTGGATTTGGGTGGTTCTTCTCATGGCTGTGTCCAGTCCACGTCTGATTATCCCATACCAGGAACGTGGTGGTGACTTCTGGCTGTCTCCCTTCCCTTGGTCTCTTCTCATTCTTACTCTTCTTGCAGATCTTTGCCGTTCTCATCTTCCTGAGGCACGATCTTTACAGGGTGACTCTGCATCAGAACCTGCGGTAGCTCAGAGTGCCCAGTGACTAACACGCATGCCCAGTGCCCAGCCCCGAGCCCTGCCCCCTTCCCCATCCCAGGTCACTGTTCTCTGGACCCAGGTCTGCAGTGTGCATGCGTGGTGGGTAACACATCAGCTCTGGACCTCGCTCTCACTACACAACCTTAACAAGTTACTTAGACTCTGGTACCTCAATTTCCCAATCTGTAAAATAAGCAAAATGACTACTTGTCTTTTTACCATTATATTAACACTGTTTGCTGTCATCATCAATGTTAGTAAAGGATGTGTTGTGTGTCGGCCATCCTTGCGTACATCACACTTCTCCCATGCAACCCCCTGTTGTTCCCTTCTTTTTGGAATGGGGACTGGAATGGTTTCCCTTTTTTCTGCTTAGATATGTCCCACTTTTGGTTTCAAAAATTCAGCTCATGATGCCCTGTCACTCAACATCCATTCAATGCACATTCACTGTGTTATTTACTAAGTACCAGGTATAGCAAGAGGTTCTCAAGATACGCGCCAGTGAGTGAGTAAGGTCTCTCCTCAGCTGGTCAGGGGTCAGACAAGTACGTGCAGGGGCAGTGACAGAGACAGAAGACACAGATGAAATGGGAGCACCGAGAGGAGGTGTGGCCCTGCCCAGAGGCTTCTGCTGGTGGCAGCAGGCAGTGTGGGAGGGCGGTTTGAGGCAGCGGTAGCACCTGTGCAAGTAAGAGAACAACGTGTGGGGCCTGCGAGGAGTGAGGTGCTGTAGGCCAGAGGGGGAAGTCCAGGTGAGGCAAGGCAGAAGGCAGACTGAAAATGCAGGTGAGGACAGCCCATGCAGGGCTCGTTGATATGCCAAGGGAGTTGTTGGGGAGCCAAGGACCATTATGAGTTGGGTAGAGACACAGCCAGAATTCTCCCTTCTCTACCACATTCACTGATTCTCAGGATGCACTCGCTCTGTATATACACAAAGGGCTGAATCCAGGTGGTGGCCTTCCCACGACATCTTTCTGGGCAAGACAGGGACAGTGCGAGGGGCGAGAGGCACAGCCACCTGCAGTCTTTAAAGAAGGTAAAACTCAGATGAACAGCTTCAAAGGCAGGAACGAGTAACTTGCCATTGTGTTCTCAGTCGAGGTCCCCATTATGTTCAGTGTTGTCTCAAAGGCACAACCTTACATGATTGGATTATAGACACAATAGACCGTAATTCTATCAGCTTGGTCATGAAGCTGATGCATGCTTTGCAAACTGGTAAAAATTCATAAATGGGGATAGAGGGCCAGACTCTGTGCACTCTTGAAGGATCACATACACTCATTTCCCCAAACACGAGCCAGCTCCTGGTGTATTCACGTCTACTCACTGACACCGGGACCACCGGAGCCCTTCGGCAGGGGTGGGAGGATGGGTGGGCAGGCAGCGTGTGCAGGGAGAGAAGTGTCGGTCCCTCTGTTGCACAAGGAGAAATGCTGGGCAGGGATGCTGGGAGAGGGGAACCCACCAAGCAGAATTTGTGAGGGGCCTGGGAGAAAGAGGAGGGGGCAGGGCCCACTCCAGACCTTGACCCCTGGGTGGCCTTCACCACCTGCTGCTTGTCCAAGGCTGGAAAGCAAGGCTTAATTAAACCAAGATTAAGTTAGGCTGAGTGCAGTAAGTGCTCAATGAACATTTTGTGATTGATTTAACTCCAGCCCTAATCTTGTTCTTAGGGTAACCCAGAGTTTTCCTTTATTTAAAAAAAATTAACTAAGGGATGGCTAGGGACAACAATAGCTTTATGGAAAGGAATGTCAGTCAAAGACCTCTTCCTCAAAGGATAGTTGTTTTTAAATATGAAGCATTTCTATAGCATTACAATAAGCAATGGGACTTACCTGATCCTTATTAAAAAGCACTACTGTAAGACATGTTTATAGTAAATTTGAGTTCATTTTTCTGTCTGGTAGAGCATCTTGTACAATGTTGTGATCTAATTTCCTTTAAAATCTGTGACTTCTGGTGGACTGATGGCAGTACAGAGCTGCTCCACTGTGAGAACACAAGTCTCTTAGGGCCTTGCCGGCACCAGCAAAGGGAGACCCTCTGGGCACAGAGGGCCTGGGGGGTGGGTGTTCTCCCAGGGAAGATGACGCTTGGGACAGGAGCTGTCAAGCCCCAGGCTGAGATGCTGGTATGTTTGGGCCTCCTCAGTCCCACTTGCAGCGTGGGCTGGAGGCTTGGCCCCTCTGCCTGAACGAGCCCAGGGCTGTGGCCGCAGGGCACAGAGGTGGTGCTGGGATTCGGTTGGGAAGAGGACGGCAACACACATCAGGCCTTCCGAATTTCCTCAAAACCATGCGCGTCTTCGCCCTTAACTGTGGATCTTAACTTTGATAAACTGAATTCAGTGCCTAAGAGAAATTCTCGGCAGCTGAGCACGTCCATCCCATGGCCCCAGAGCAGCCCCACTCACCTCATCCACTGTCCATCGGGCCACCTCGTCTGCCTGGATGTCAGCCACGCCCGGCAGCAGCTTGCAGTGCTGCTCCCTGCTGAGAGGGAGGTCCCGGGAAGGGTGGGTGAAAAAGGATGCCATGAAAACCGACTCATGCAGTGCCCGCTGTGTCTGCTCAGCCGCGTATTCTGAGAGAGGCAGGGGTTGGGAAGCACAGACCTGCGAATTAGTGAGCGGCATCTAGGTCATCCTCTCATTACAGAAGTCCAGAGTCAGGTTAGGTGAAGTGCAGACACAGAGCATCACTGCCAGGAGTCCCCAGCACAGCCAATACCACTGTTGTGTTTCAAAACAATGGTCATGAAAACTCATTGTTATATAAGGTCCTGAAGACTGTGGCTAATAAGCAGGTTTGTATAATCTCTATGACACACTGTTTGATGCCAACGAAGAGCTAACTCATCCCCGCCACTGGCTCCCCTCTTCTTAATCAGGAGTCAGAGGAAGTACAGCGCCTCACTGATGTGACTATTAAGCAGTGGGCACACAGACACGTGCATGCATGCGAAGAATGATTTCTTCCTGGAAGCCACTTTGTGTGTCTCCAAAGAAGGAATGAGCCCAGGTCCACATCTGGCTTCCTCGGTCCCCTGGGGGACACTGAACACAGAATGCAGCACAGGGTTCCCCGGAGAACCTGGGTGGCAGCTGCTGCTGTAGCTGCCAGCTAGCCGGGAGGACCTCACCAGGACTTGCAGAAAGAAGCTGCAGCTTTGCAACTATCTTTGCCCCAGGCACTCTTAAGAGAGTCCTCCGTTTTTGGAGCAAAAGCTGTGAATGTACCACCGTTGAGTCTGTGGCATGAAGAGCAATGGATGGCTGCTGGCTGCTGCTTGCCCAAGACTAGCTGCTATCACCAAGGAGTAAGACTTATTTTCACCTCACTCTTCTCTCCCCAGCCTTTCTGAGCTGGCTTCCCACCTTCAGGGTGACTCTACTCTTACGTTATACCCAACATTGTAGGTGCAGCCGTGGAGCTCAGTACCCTTATACTTTGCACAAATGGGTAAGGAGCAAAAACATTACAGCAATGTCAGAGAAAACTCATGCCTTTACGATATTTTTGAAGATATTTTCAATATACATTAGCAAAACAAAGTTGATATTTTAAAAGATTTTAAAGAGAAAGGCCACAAAAGGAAATGTTTCAAGCTTTCTAAAAGCCTAGCTTGCCTAATGCAAATGGTAGGTTAAGTAAGCAGTTGCCACATGATTTAAAGTCTATTATGATAATCTGTGTTTTACTAACCCGAGTCAGAAGAGCTATTATGCAAATATTTCTATCTCTAATTAACAGTTTTTAGCAGGTGAGGCTGACCTGCGCTTTGCATGGTACCTGGTAGTCATCAGAGAGGGTCTAAGCTGCCACGGAGCCTGCCCACCCCTCCCTGGCTGCTAGGCACCGACGTCCTGCGTATGTATGTATCAATGCTTGCTGTCTACAGAAATAAAGAGACAGCAAACTGCGGCCTCCTCCCAAATTCTTATGCTCCAGTTGCAAGCAGCAGCAAATGTGTTTCTAAATGCTGACTGCCCAACACTGACCTTTTTAGTATGTAAATAGGTTATCTCCCTCTGTGTAGTTCAGCCAACAGAATAAGGCTGCAGGTTCTGATGGGAAGCTTCACATCTTCAAAAGCCAGCATGTTTACGAATGCGAATTTTCTTTAATGAAGTTGTCAGGTTGGACAAGGAGCATGTACAAAACAAGCCCTGAAGACCCAGGGTGGCATGGTTGCAGAGCAAGTCAGCAGTCACGGCCATGCAGAATCACCGAGGACTTTACTGGGAAACCAAGGGTTAAATCTATGTACTCTTAGGGATTAAGACCTGAGCCAAAGCTGGGCTTTATTCTGGAAAAGAATCACTGCATCAATCCATCAGTTGTTTTTGCAGAAATAACATGGACTTAAAAGAAAAAAAATCACATATGTATCACTAACCTACTCCCTTTGTAAATCAATTACGTATAGGACTGAAATATATATAGGACTGAAAAGACACAATTAATGAATTTTGTATTTTGGAGACAGAGAATGTCAAGTGATGATAATCAGATTCCTATAATTCACAAATATGTGCTGAAGGTATGTGAAAAAACCATTGTGCTCCCAAGCCATGAAATTTTCCACACCATAATTTTGGAAGCAAATTGCCTTGGCTGCTGAGGCATCCACTTGGAAACAAACCGAAGGTGTGGCTGCCAGCAATTAACGGCACTGAGGTTCCTGAGCCCACCGCCTCTCCTGGTTCTGAGCTCTGGAAGCCGGGAAACTTCGGTCAGTGCCAGTAGCAAGGTGGCCTTCAGGTTACCACTAAAGTTGGGGGCTCTAGCTTTATACCATCCAACTGGCTCTGTGTCTTCCAAGGCTTTTGAAGTCTATCAGCTGTGTCCTTACTAAAGCAAACAACCTTTCTGAATAGAGGTGAAATCTAGGGTGAAATCTAGAGGTGAAAAGTAGAGGTGAAAAAGGGATGAAGACAACTTAGTGGGGAATAGGCCCTCTATGTTGTGGGCAGCGGGGAAAGGTCGCACCACCTTCTGGGCTGCGATCTGCTACTGGTGCCAGGTTCTCTGTATCTGTTTACCTGCAATCTCAGGTTTTGGGGAATGCTTGCCAGTACCAGTTACATACTAAACATGAAAATCAATGATCAATCATTATCAATTTTACTGTATAAAACTTTATGTCATGAGATGCAAGCCTTAAAGTTGAGTTTTCCTGCTCAGAAAGACTTGAGTTAGGTTAGAGAGAGAGTCCCCGAGGAGGAGGGAGTTTGGATAGACAGTCTGCCATCTCTGAGATGGGCCAGGGTTGACAATACCCCCAGCAGAACCGGCGGGAGGGGAAGAGAATGTGCAGAAGGCAGTGTGGTCGCAGCGCACTGTAACCACTCACATGGTAGATGCTACTCTAAACTCCACCGTAAGCTCCTGGAGGTCAGTCGGGACTGGTGTTCTATGAAGGGGATTTGCATGATTAGAAATGAGCACAATGTAAGACTAGCTTTCCAACAGTAACAAAAGAAAGGGAATGCATTTTGGACAGCGTTTCACAGTGTCTTCTTTGTTTCATTTACTAGGTCTGACTTCTCCCAAAACTTTTGGTTTGGGGGTGAAATTTCCAGGTCTAGCTGAAAGAATGCTAGGGTAGGCTTGCCGCAGGGGACTGTGCTGCCAGAGGCAGGGCAGGTCCACACCAGCTTGCCTTGTTGTGAATCCTGGTCCCCACACAGTTGCTGAGTGGTTTGGGGTGAGATACTTACCTCCTATGTATCAAGGTCTTCGTCTTTAGAATGGGGTAATAACAATACTACACCTCAGTGAGGTGCTGGGATTAGAATAGCTCCTGCTGCAGTATGAGCGTTCAGTCCACATGAGACATTACATTAGTGCTATAAGATGCAAAGGTGTTGTAAATTGTAACAATGGTGACTACGAGGACATACAGTATTTCCAAAGCCAGTGTGCCTAGACCAGCCCAACCTCTATGAAAGCTGAAATTCAGACTAAAACTCAGGATCTTCAGGGTGGTGTTCAGACTACACACCCAAGTGGTCCAGGGACGACTGTGTTGTGGTCACCAAAGTCACTTGCGGAAGCCCCAGGGGACGGAAACGGGAGTGGGAACCACAGTGTGCTGCCAGTGCAAATGGTGCGGCACGTGGCACCCATGAAACACTGTGAAAACCCACTCAGCCTGCCAGCTTTGAAGTTCTGTGGCTCTTGACAGACTTTTAAAATGTGGGATGATTTGCATTATTTTAAATTCTGTGCATAAAATTAGACTTTTGAAATTATCCACTTAAAATTTTACATACATTTTCATCAAACATGAACACCCTGATTTTAATTTTTACCGAGCCAGCACACAGCTCATGTCCTATTAGATCTCACTAAGTAGTCAGTAATAAACTAAAGAGCATAAGCCTTTGAAGAAGGGGTATACTGTCCTCAGAAACCATTCTCATGAAACCCAAAGGGTATTGTTCCACTTTGGGCACTGTAAATAAATAGTCTTCTAGGTTAGGGAAAGATGCCTACCATGAACAGAGTGCAGGAAGGGTCTTTTTTTAACTGGGTAACTTCTGTATTTCTCCCACCAAACCAGCATTCCAGCCCTGTGTCTGCCGAACACACTGGTGGGGAAGGGGTGCCCCTCAGATTCGCTGCCTCACTGGAGCAATGATTCCTACCCAGTTCCCCTAAAAGTCAGCCAGGATAATGCAGCCTATAGAAACAGCCCTCCTACTGGAAGTTTTCACATTTTAATTAATCAAAATGCCTTTTGCCCCAGAACATGAAATGCATGTATAGTCCTAGCTTTGCCTCTAACACCAGTAGAGAGTGACAATATAAGGCTCTACCCTAACACTTCAGATGGCTTTACCCTTCCAGACAGCAGAACGACACAGGTAGTACCTGTCACGTCAGTGATTTGCCATTTGTAGAATACTTTATTGGAAGAATTCTTTTGCTACACTTTTTCTCTCATTAGGTATTTCTTTTGATTTTTATGTCTTTTAAAAAATATAACAGAATAGTTAATGATTCCAGTCAAGGTGCTTGGAGATCTGGAGCACTCTCAAGTTTCTGAGGCCAGGATCTTCAGCTCCGTTACGAGTTCCAGGATTCAAGGAGGCTCTGGACTGAGTGCCAGGAGACTTGGCCACAGGTCTGAGTCCATTCAGCAGCACCCAGAGAGGGGCAAATGCATAGTTCCATCTCCAAAAACGTTGTCATTCTCTTTCTTGCAGAGGCAGTAACTTGCTGGAATCCAACTGATGTCAGTGCTCTCTGCCTCTGCTCTTGAACATGGAACACCCCAGCCAAGGGCAGACCATCTTCTCTAGGTCCCCGGGGACAGCCAGTGTGGGTGGCCCACTGGGGGTGGCATGTGACTCAGGGTCTGCCTTTCAGGTGAAATGACCAAACGGGCGGTGTACAGGACTGTTTGCTTCCTGATTCCACAGACTTAAAAAAGTATTTAGCAACTAAAGGTCTTTAATTCACCTGGAAATAAATGAAAATAGGTCCCTGATTTCCTCTCTGCCCCTTTCACTTGTCCTTCCCACTCCTGCTCCACAAATCCTTTAAGGAAATGTTCTTTTAAAGTATGGTTGTTTC